CATGCGACTAGTATTAGTAGTATACTTGCAAAATGAAAACTCTACATAACCGAAATAAAAAGGACAGTTATTAAAAAACACAAAGTGCTGAACAGTAGTTTCGTCCTAGTATGGAACTCATCACTCGTACGCACCCACTGTGGTTTGAACCTAGGCCCTTCCGATTACACCATTTAGCCATTGAGATGAAATCCTAACTTCCACGAATCCGTGATTTTAGCGCGATCCACTAGCCAATATCATCGGCGAGTATCTGTCGCCACTCCCAAACTAGGACAAAACAGTTATCCTACACTCCCTCGTTTTCAATGGTTGTTCTCTAAGTGTTATCAGTCCGTAGTCAAAATGAAACTAGTCAAATTCCTACATGTTAACTCTTGAGAAGATCCTTACTTAAAAGAAAACCATATGGTAATATAAAAAGAAATTTGCATAGAAAAAGTACTTGGACAGGACAATATACACATTTTCACAGCTTCGTTCCCATCAAGTACAAAAGAAATTTAGTGAAGAACCTCAGCCACAGAGTTAGAGCTCAGAAGAAGTAACTGAAGATGAATTAAGCACTTCATATGATACTTTGATCGATAAAAGCTATCCCGAAAAATTTATCAAGAGACACATGACAAAGAAAGCGGAAAAGGACTACATACTACCTGTAAACAAGGACTACAATTCAAGGGCGATATATCAAGTGAGAAAATTACGAGAAAATTAAGAAAATCAGTTCGAAGAGCTTTTAATACTGGTGAACTACACGTCTGTTTCTCTACACGACCGATGGTGCCACCTCGACTCAAAGATGAAATACCTAGACTAGCCACTTCTAATTGTATCTACCAATTCAACTGCGCTGCTTGTGGAGAGCGTTATATTGGCTGCTGCTCTAGTAACTTGATTTTTTGTGCTCACTCGAGAACATCTCCCAGTATGGCTAAGTAAAGGTGTAGTGAAAACCATCAACAGTTCGATATTGGGCCATCTGGTGCAAACCGGCCACAAAGCTAGCCAGCATTGAAGAATCCTTCTCTATTATCTACCAGGTACCAGATAAATTGCCAAAATCATCGAAGCACCGCATACTGCAAACAGCAGAGGCTATTGCAATTCACCTCAAACAACCAGTGCTCTGTGTTTAAAAGAAGCAAGTCCAGTCCCTACTACTGCCCTGGCTGGCCTTCATTAGAGACTATAAATTCATGAATTTGTAATATTATCTTTCCTAGTTTTTCTGACATTCAGCTTATTTTATGTTGATGCTATTAACCTGTAATCTATCAATATTATTAATTCGATGTTATTTAAACAACATTGATGTTGTTCATGACACTAATTCAGTGATTCACTATAATGTATATATAACTGTAGAGCCTGATGATAAAGTTATCGAAGTAGTACCCTTTGTTTAGTATCCTTTCTTCTGAAAATGATCTTTTACGAGAATATTTCAGTCAAACTGCGAATGCCACTGTAAAGATTAGTAACAGAATGTATATAACTTGAATATATATCCAAAATATGCATGATAAATTACTTCCTGTATTGAACCAGTCACCAATGAGCATGAAATCAACTATCAATTGTTGATTTTCAGGGATTTAATTGACTACGGGTTTGATCACGAGTCGACATTAAAAACCCCGTGAGTACTGAACAGCTATTTCCTCTTATTTAAGGATTATTCTTAGTCAGTACGCACCAACCGCGGCTCGAATCCAGGATCAGTCAATTACAAAGTGAACTAGTTGACAATTCCAAGTTTTCCAGTGGTTGTCTGACTGACATCAACTCGTAATCAAACCTGGAACCAATTAAATCCCTGCTTATCAGCACTTGATAATCAATCTAATGCTCGCTAATGATTGACTGTATACAGGACATTACTTACATTTTCAGTGAGAAGTTGTAATCAGTGGGGTACACCAAATCAGTTAGAAAAGGACAGTTACCCGCCTGTGACACCGGCTGGCGGTTGCTTTAAATATATCACTAATTATCAGAAGTTAAAATTCATGAAGTGGCCTTTGGATCTAGTCAAGTAGTTGATGAATGGTCTACGAGCTCGCCTTGTAACCAGAAAGGTCCTGAGTTCAAACCCCAGTAAGTGGGTACTGCTTAAGAGTCTCAAAGTGTGATAGAACAGAAGTCCAATACCCCTAGGTTTTCCATTGATTCTCTAATTGGTTTTCAGTATTCAACAAAACACTGTACGCGCTGTTGGTATGCAAATAATACTGCTTATTTTCAGGAAATCTAACTACTAGTTGTATGCAGAAAAATATTATAGATATGATTGAGAAGATTTGTAGCTCAGGTGGATGATTTTGATGTGGTTGTGCTCTCGCAAATTAACCATCCAGCTCAGAGAACACAACCACATCAAAATATTATAGATATACAGTAAGGTGAATGGTATTACTTAATTGATTATCTGAAGTTAATTTAGGACAGGTAAAAATAGACTATGGATATTGCTTAATTTTTCATTCTAAATGTCAAAAAAACCTTATAAAGTTTTCTACAAGTAACGCATATGTATATAAAAATAAGAAAAACCTGTTACATTTGATCGTCTAAAATTATTTATTGATCCGAAAAACTGATTTCAGATAGTGGATAGTTCCGGTTTAGAACAGAATGAAAGTCTCATTATACGCATGATAAGGGATACTATGTCTCATTCCTGTTTAACAGTTATCATCATTTACTATGTGCATTGATGGTTTATTCCATAGAATACTGGTCTTACTGGCCACACTTGGTCTTGAGCCCGATACCTTGACAACACACTCCGAAACCTTGCCCAGTCAGTAGTAAGCTTGGTAAAGAAGGAAGGTTGAGTATGATACTAGTAAGCCCACCATGTAAAAAAGTGCTAGCACTCCTCAATTTTTTAAGCACAGGCTTGAATTCTTTATCCACAACACCAAGGAATGAGAAAAACCCCATTCACTATGAATATAGAGAAATTTCAGGTCAAAAGCCAAATGGTCATGTAGAAACTGAGTCGCTCTGAGAAAGCCTTTATCATGAATCGATGAGATCGAATAAACTCCTGGAAACGGAGATATTCCGTAGAGTTGTTTCCTACTATTTTCAAAATTTTCAAATATTAGTTTGTAGGGATCTTACCTGCTTCAGTTTTGACCACAGGATGCTATAACCTATAGGTCCTGAATTCGAATTATGTTGAGTGTACTTCTGTGACTTAGAAGAGGAAAAAACGGCTGTCCAGTACAACCAAAGTTCCCTAACCGATATCTGTCTAAGGTGAAACGTAAAGCTGTTCTGAAAATTACCCGAAGTCCCAAAATGAGACAAAACAGACGTTCAGTACCCTGAGGTTTTCCAGTGGTTGTCTAACCAATGTTAGTTAACGATGGAAGTCTGAAACCAACCAATCAAATCCCTGCAAACAAACGCTTAAATATTCAGATATATAAAATACTATGGGTAAAAAATCATTTAAGAATGCAAAATTGGTGCCTTAATATTTTGATATAATGAAGCACATGTAGAGAGTTTATTTATTTTTAACTGTTGTATTGTCACAAGTAATGAACTTCTAGCAGTAGGCAACATTTTTCATCTTTTCGTGTCGTGTTAACTGTCCTTCAGGACAACATCTTCAGCATCAGTTTCAATGTGATTTCATCCCGTATTTTTTTATTTTTGAGTGTATAATAACAATTACAATACAATACAAATCTAAGAAATCCAGGATTTTCTTAATGAAGATATCAGTGAACACAAATACAACTCACTAGAGACTTCAAGTTCGAAAATACTCAGAGTCCCGTGTGACTTCACATCATTTTACGATAACAAGTTGGCTTGATCAGCTAGCGATACCACCCCTGACTCTACGGATAAGTGGTGAAGAAGCGATTGTCTTTATTAGAAGACATAGTATTCTTCACTTTACAGATATATCTTGGTGATAACTGCCAAAAAAACATTAACCAAAAACTTCTCATGGTTTACAGTTAGTCTCTTGAAACAACTAAAATGCATACTCTTAAAATATGTTTATGAATTAGAGGTAGAGGAGCTTATTTCGCTAGTAACAAACTTAAGTCTTCTTTCTTATCAAAAGAGGTGTCTACTCAGCACTCTACCGTATAGTTTCATTTGAAATCAAATCAACAAATTTATTGTATTCGATAGATTTTCGTCACAAGCCAACATCAGTGAAAACCAATGAGAACTGGACAGCACTGTTTCTTCCTACTTTCGAAATCTTCATCACTCCACACTCACAATCCAAAAATGGTTTGAACCCAAAACCTTAAGGTTCTGAAATCCCGCTCGTTGACCCTCAGGTTACTTGGGATGGAATCCAAAGACACTCGAAAGGGCAACACTACATCAGAAGTTGGCACAGTTAGAGTTCATGGAGCACTGAATTCCAGGGCAACTGCCTAAGTTGTCAACAAGCTTGATCTCCTAGCCTGAAAGTCCCAGGTTGGATCCCTGATGGGGTTGTGGGTTTGTACTATTGAAGCGTCACAAAATAGGAGTGAACAGCTAGCTGTTCAGTGCTCTTGGGCTGGTATTCACTGATCTCTCAACTGTTATTCGTTCCGAACGAAACTTTGACAACTGAAATTAATCCAGAATCCCCAAAATTCTATCATCTAAATATTTCGCCATCCCACAATCATATTTTTTAATTCTTCTATCAGTCATAAACTATGATTAAGCCTTAGTGGACGGATTCAGGTCATGACTGACTAGGAACCACTGTAAATAACCCATGAATTTCATCTTTTTAAGGTCTAAAGTACATTTTCAAACTCAAAATTACTAGAATTTTAAGAATGATGGATAATTCAGTGAAAATGAAACTGTCACTACTGTTGTTTATTGAAACTCAAAGGAAATGTCACCACAAATGGCAGTTGTAAATTTTAAAAGTATTCACTTTATTAGATGAATACTCATCAGAACATCGATAAGAAATAAAGAATAGTTAACTAGCTACTTATTGACTCACTCACCTGGCACTATATCACCAAATCCAATTGTTGATAATGTTATGAAACAAAAATATGACCATTTCAAATAATCAGGATCTTGCCATATAGAAAATACAATCGCTCCAATAAGTATATAAGTAGTCATAATAACTAATGATAAACTAATCGGAACAGTCACTTTAGATACATCTTCATCTGCAACAAAACCATCACGATATGAAAAGAAGGATAAATCTTCTTCTGACTGTACACTACCACGTTGAGAATAATAACTTAACTGTACAACTACTTCACTGTCTAAATCCCCCGTGATGAAGCCAGTGAAAGACGTGATCTACCTAACTGTTCAGGTTTTATATCATGTGAAGCCGTTTCACAGGTTGCATAAGGATTAGAGATAACTGTTGACTGTAATAATTTTTGAAATGCATCACTTTGTAGACCATATGATTCTGGAACTAAAGGAATTGTAGAATACTGAAATTGTTGTGGATGTGGTTGATTTTTTCTATAGGGTAAAGTGAAAAGAGGGGGGTATTTAAAGTTTTCTAATAAAGTTGGAGTGATGTTTTTATTATACATATTAGCGACGGGAATAAATGGTGCACTTTGTTGAAATGAAGTATACGCCGGTGGGTTTGGAACACCAGATTTTGAAGTGAACACTTTATTATTGTTCACCTGGTTGTATGTCTTCTGCATATTTGCAGGATAAGGTCTGACTAAGGTGGACATCGATGATATATCATAAGGTTCTTCACAGCCCATTGATGAAATAGTATTTTGCAAGAAATTTTCTTGTGGTTTGAATGGTGTGAACGTTGGTTTTCTCGGTGATTGTAAATTTGAACCCAAGATTGCATTTCTACTTGACATTCCTGTGTGGTCCAACGTATCATTTGTTGATGTCTTACAGGAAAGTGTCGAAGAAAGTTCATTTTGAGCAACTTGTTTAAAATTACTGAAAGATTTAGAATTTGGTGTTTTACAGTGAATTTTTCTACGTTTTATTCTATGCATCGAATCTTTAGCTGAATATGTTCTGTCCAGATGACTTTTTATATCACAGACATTTGTATTTACAATTACAGTTGAAGTATCGCCTTCCTCTGGATTATCAAGCTTTATATTCTCAGTAGACTTTAAGGTCTGTGTTTCGTTATTTTCCTCGTCAAGCGATCTTACTTCTAGATCGATATCAATATCTTTCCAGCATAATAAACGTATTGTCCCATCACCACTAACATATTCTGTTTCACTTTCACTAAGTATAGTTGAACCTGTTGATACCTTGTCATTAGAAACACTGTCAAAAGAATTTATTCTATGAGCAGTTCGTCTTTTCACTTCCATTTTAGGATTATCTTTGTGCTTTAATAGTGTTCCATACAATTTTTCATTTTCTTTCCTTTTTAATTCAGCACGTGCTTGTTCTTGAAGACGTTTTCTTACACGCCTTTTATGCCTTCGTTGTCTTTGCACTGAGCGTAGATAACGTGCCATCAGATAAAATTTACGATGTTGTCCATCATAAGTGAAATATTTTGCAGATTCTTTTTGTAGATTATACAATGCTGGCTGATTTTGCACTGGAATAGTTGCAGATGTCGGCAGACTAGTCGGCGACGTGAACATATAAGCGTTAGGCGTGAAAGTATTACTCAGAGTACTATAATTCCCATCAGGAACAGAAGCACATGTACTACCGTATTTCAGCTTCATTGTTTTATTCAATTGATTCTGTTGTTTCGTTAAATACTCATACAGGTGTTTAGAATCTTCAAAAGTATCGGAGTAATTAGTTCCACTTGGATCATTTCTTTCAACCATAGCAGTTGTCCGACACAATGTTTGATTATCACTTTGATTATTTGGTACACTACTTGAGTCGACAAGATTTTTCATTGTATTCGAAGTCATATTTGATGTTACGTATTCTGTAATAGATCAAATTCTGGTCCATGATGCATATTTTGAAAAAACATATTTGGGTAGCTTGTTAATTTTTCGCTCCCACTAACTATATTACTTCATCAGTAGGGATTTCAGTAGGTTTAGACGCATTAGCATTTTCATCTTGATAAATCAATCCTTTGACCATTTGTTGAATCCATGTAAATGTTGGATGAAAAAGTTCACGTAGATTAGATTTGGCCTATTTAGATAACGATAAACGGAGAATAAAAACATGAACAATTAGGCTAAACATGTTTAGCAAATAAATAAAAATAGTGTGTATTTGTCAAATCTTTTTAGGGACATGTTTAAGATAAAATTCTAAAAAAGTTTCTCTATTCAACTGCCTTTTTTTTACTTCATACAACCATGAAATATGATGTACAGAATACCTTTTTTATGAAAGGGCAAAATAGTCCCCAAACTAAATTCAGTCTCGAAGTAGTACCGCTAAGCCCTAAATGTATGTCATTTTAAAGTCGGTTACAGACATCAGCTGCAGTGAATAGCGGTAAGATTTAGGTGACACTGTCAATTAATAGGAAGGTAGACTAGAGCCTTTATCATAAAACATTACAAATGCATATGGATTTACAATCCTGAGGAATACAAAAAGCAAGTGCTCTAGTAGTTTTAGTGATTTCCTGAGTGACTTCCAAATTGTCAAATACGCATTTTGAAAAAACAATGGACTGAGCCCTATTTCTTTTCTATGAGTTCCTAATAATTGGCTCTACATTCATATGTAGTTTTTAAATCGAAATGTTTTACCAGTCAAATGGTTGTTTTAGTTAAGCAATTAACTAGTAGATGCTAGTAACAAGATATCTAAGTTTTGAAGGGGGGAGGTGTTAAAATTAATTACGGGATTCAAGATTAGTTGATTCTTAGGCTCTGGCGACAAGTTATTACATAATCAAGAAATTTGTAAAATAATGATATCATTCAGAGAGCTACTGAAAACCAGCATTATAGTACTGGACAACTGTTTCGTCCTAGTTTGGGAATCATCGCGAGTACGCATCCACCACCCATGTTGAACCCAGGAAGGTAAGCTCGTTTAATATTCAGTCATTAGGACTCGATTCACTGACCAGCCTATGAATTCTAACTTCTACCAATTCGTGATTTAGCGCAACCACCAACCAATGTAATCGGTGTAATCCATCCACACACTTGACTTGATGAATCTAACTGGTCACGAGTTTACACTAGAACTCCAATGAACTCCGTCCTGTAGCAACTCACTAGCGAGTATCAGATGGTGGTCGCGCTAAATCACGAATTGGTAGAAGTTAGAATTCATGGGCTGGCCATTGAATCGGGCCCCAATGGCTGAATGGTACACAAGCTTACCTTGTTAATGGAAGGTTCTGGGTTCGAACCTGGGTGGCGGGTGCGTACTGCCGATGATTCCCAAACTAGGATGAAACAGCTGTCCAGTACTCCCTGTGGCTGGTTTTCAATATTTCTCTAACTGATATCAATCTGTGGTCAAACTCGTAAAAACAAATCTAATCCTTACAAAACAACTCTTGAAAATAATGATGACTTAGAAGAATAAGATGACTCACAAGAGTTACGTAAAATTCAAACAAGTTAATAGAGTTAGCCAGAATTGTACAAACTAACAAAGTCAAAAGATAGTTACAAGGGGAAGGGAAAAATCGTTTCTAAACGTTTAGTACATATTATGTATTCAAGTGTTGGTTTGTAGGGATTTGATTGGTTACAGGATTTCACCATGAGATGACATTAGCTACAGAACCATTGGAAAACCTGGAAGTACTCGACAACTGTTTCCTCCTAGTTTGGGGCTCTTCATCAGTACGCATTCACCGTTATGTAATCAATCCTGTAACCAATCAAATCCCTACAAACCAACACTTGACTATCAATGAGATGCTCACTAGCGACTTGCCCTATTCAGGTAGGTAGTTACCTGGGTTTCTAGCAAGAAGTCGTTACCAGTGGTGTGCAGCAGGTCGGGTGTGAGGACAAATACTCGCCAAAGATATTGGCTGGGGGTCGCATTATGTGGCGAAATCACAGAAGTTAGAATTCATGGGCCATTGGATCGAGTCCTAGTGGCTTAATGGTATATGAGCTGGCCTTGTAACCAGATGGTCCTGGGTTCAAACCCCGGTGGATGCGTACTGCTGAAGAGTCCCAAACTAGGACGAAACAGTTGTCCAGTACTCTCAGCTGGCTTTCCAGTGGTTCTCTAACTACTGTCAACATATTATGTAGTTGACCATAGTCAAGGAAATGGCTGTACAAATTTTTTCTGAACACACAGATTTGGCTTGTTCAAATGAATTCCGATTGTCTCAGCCGTATATAATCGTAATGTTCGTAAACCATGCAAGAGGTTGAGTGATATACGACAAATAACTTTAAAAGCTTTGTTAGAGTCGTTGTGATGTCACGTACCAACGAAGTGATAAAGCAGTGAGCTATGTATAACTTTATTCGGACCTTTGCTAAATCAATATGGGAGGTGTTCAGAAATTCGGTGATGAAATTGCCTGATCGTATGCCCTATATAACTAGCTCTGCACAAGCAGTTAAACTGGTAAATACAAATGGAAGAAGCGGAAAAGAGCAGTCTGTCTTTACTTCTTGAACTAAGTATTGGTTGGCTAGTGAAGCTGCAGCATCGTTTAGCTGCTTTGGAAATCTTTTCGAAGGTCCTTCTCAGACGTTGTGGTAAGATCTCGCTATTGAAATTACTAGTGAATTGCAATCTTAAGAAGACTGATTGATTTTATAAGAACAATCGGCGCCTTCGACTATTTACCTTCTGAGTTCATTTGAGTTGCTGAGTGAGCTGGTGAAGTAAAATTTTAATGAAGATCATTTTTTACTGAACATCCATCCAGAATTATCCGTTAATCGAATGAAACCAGTAACTCTTAGCATCTAATATTAAACAAAAACTAATATGTGTTATTTTGATGGTTGAGACTGGAGGAGATAAAGAACGACCAGCTCGCCGCTTCCCATTTAGGCTCCACTCGGGTGATAGCCTGGTGTGTGATGTCACTTGATAGTTTCCTCAGGATATAGTCAATCCACATATATTTCTTATTCCATATTTGTTGCACAAGTGGTTTCTGTTGGCCTGGTTCTTTCCCAGAGATTCCTGTTGCTGATCTTTTCTGATCTTGGGTATTAATCAGAGACAACTGTTGATGAAGGTCTACGGCTTGTTCGATATATATATATATATATAAATTAGAAATTAGAAAATGAAACAACCAAACATTTGCAGAAACTAACGGGGAAACACATACTTCCTGTCGATTGACTCCAACCATCTAATATCATCAAATCCATGTGCACAATGATAGCAAGCCACCTAGTGGCATGGTAGCCACATTGCAAACCTAACTGATAGAATTCAGTCTTCTCCAAACAAAGGACCAGACACATCACACACTAATTACTAATTAGTATCCAATGAAAGTAGAAATTCGTAGTTTTAACATTTCAGAATTTTCAAAGTGGTTACAAACTAATTTTTTTAAAGTAAGTTTGGTATTAGTGTGAGTCGAAAAACAAACCGTATGACAGTTTATCACTGTGCAAAGACTGGATAGAAGTGGCTAAAGTGAATTGGAAATAATTGCATATTTAAACTGCTTAAAAGGGCTACATGATTACATAATATGCTAATTGAACTTCTGCCAGGGTTGAATAATATTCAGTTAAATTAATAGGAGTTCTAGTTACTTTCTTAAAGACAAACTCCTAAGCTCCCTTGTTTACTGAAGACAGGATAAATTATGAAATCACATAAACTAGTTGTACTCACTACACTTTATACCAGTGAAAAAAAATAAGTTTTAATTTTTTTAAAAAAAAAAACGTTGTTCACTATGCAGCATTTTTTCTTCTTGGTAAAATCTTAAGTTATTTGCAACAAGATAGAAGCATTTCACTGTGAAATGCTTTTCCGTTATATGTGCTTGTTTTTTCTCTACTTGTAGATAAGATTTCTTGATTTTAAACATTGTATCCTTGTTATCTGCTATATATTGTCTGCCTACTCCATGTGATTAGACAAATGATTAAGTTTTCCAATTGAATTAAAACTAGTCTGTCCTGGTCAAAAACAAAAGATGAGATTATTTCATTGTTATTATACTCCTTAATGCCAAGTTTATTATTGCTTGCATGCTTTGTAGCATTTCAATGGCTTTTTTTGTTAGTTGTCGTAAAAACCTTCAGTGTCTTTACTGTGTATTTTAGCCAAGTAATCTTTGTACAGGAGAAAAGATTTATTTTAATGAGATTATCTGAATGATTCTAATGACTTCATTTTTAAGGGTTTTAGTAGACGAACACACTTCTAATGTTAGTCTAATTACATAAAATTATTTCGATCCTATTAAATAGTCACTTTATCGTTTTTTTCGGTTTTGAAAATGCCTGCGTAATTCGCCCCAGAATGCTTCGGTTAAATGGTTGGTTACGATTCTGAAACCGTTGGACATGGTCATTCAGTAAAATATAGTGTGAAAGAAGGTCTTGAATTCACAGAGAAGGGTATTGGTAACAAGATCAAATATAAAACTATGATATCTTTGGATGAAACTCCATTATTCCCAAGTACACCTCTGATTGAAACGATTAATTACATCTGTGAAAAAATAATTAATTAACAAATCCATTGAAATATTGGGTACCCAATAGAAATCCTAAAATAACTTTTGCTAATGTGTAATATGAATGGGAATTTTGAATGTGATAGTGAACTCTATAGACAGGTGGATGGGATGACGGTGGGGTCTCCATTCGGCCTTATGTTAAAAGATCTCATTCTGAGTAAACTAGAATATGGTCCTTCAAATAATCTGTTTTTATTGTCAATATATACAGATGATATATCCGTCTTTTCTGGAAATGATTTGAACAGGAACACTATATGGCTGAATTCAGTGAGGTACTCTCAGCTGTCAAACTCATGTGTGGAAAGAAATTCCCATGTGAAGTTACCTTTTTAGACGTCCTACTGACAAGAACGCCACACGGTAGTATAAAATGGGATTCGCGCAAGAAAAGTTCTTAGAACGGTAAGCACATGTAACAACAGAAGACAAGGGCCAGGCAACAGATCGTTTTATTACGGAAATCAGCACGTATTGATATATATTTCATGTACATTATTATAGCTTATGCAAGTAGACAAGCGCA